CATAGATATATACAAGAGTAGTGGTGGGGAGGAGAAAGAAAGCAATATTGAAAAATGCAAGTGTTGAGTGTACAGAAATCGAAAGCATTTTTAATACCAAGCCTCAGTTATCATTTCATGTTGATTCCATATAGATAATAAAGTAATTTATCATCCCAGTACCTGAGCAGATTCAATATAAGATGGAAAGCTGATGATTAATTCCATTGATTCCACTGAAATATTGGAGTACAGCTATGAGTTCTTGTGACTATGGGACTTGTACAGTTTTCCAATTTAGGGAGGGCATATGGGTGGGGGGAGGTAATAAATAAACCATTGATTAAAAAATGGGCCCAGACAATGCTTGACAGGGCTGATTTACACTTGTATCTCTCTTCCTGTAGCTCATAATGTGTTACAACTGAAATGTGGTTGACTGAAGAGTAATTCAGCTGTGATGGCTGTGAGTAATGCCACAAGTTAATCACAACAATACACACCAATTACACCACATATAGGTTTAATATGGGTAATGGCTTATGCAAAATAAAAAAAACCTTTAACCGCTTGGTAAAATCCTATCATATATTTTCAATATCACCTTATATGAGGAGAAAATTAATCTTACATCTAATATTGTAATCGCTGCAGGTACATAATCTTATCTGAAATATTAAGACTCTGTGTGTATTTTGTATTGTTGAGTTAGTCAGGAGAAACATATTATAACTTCTACTCAAAGGATACCCCTAAAGCAGTGGTTCCTAACCTGCGGTCCGTCGACCACCAGTGGTCTGCAAGAACTAAAATATAGTCTGCGGCCTCACCATTACTACACTGTTGCAACGAGAGTGTCTGGTCCAACAAAACCCTCTTATAGTGCAGAGGCTTATTAAATATTGTTTTCCATATTTGGTGTGGCCTGACCAATGCAATTTTCTGAATCAGCACTCCAAATAACCAAACCGAATCTAAAGTCGACCAAAAACTGATTCATAACCCTTATCTATATAAATAAAAGATGTAATGTTCATTTGTGGGATTAACATAACTCAAAAACCACTAAACGAATTGACACCAAATGTGGACATAAAACACCTATCAGGCCAACGAGTGGTCATCACTTATAAAAGCACTGAAAAACACAACAGAAGGGACTTAAAAAGCAAAATAAAAAACCTGAAGAGATGCTACAGTGCATGGCAACCAAAACACACAATAGCATATCCACACTCTCTTCCGGACTACATCTCCCGGCATCCCCTAGACCAGGCCCTTTAGGAGAGGAGGATGATCCAAATGCACTGCTTCCAAGCTGCAAGCTTTCTTCTCCTTGGATTTCTTTGAGAGCATCCCAATCCCTGCATATTTCCAATTCCCTATTCCTGGACTGCAACTCCCAGCAATTCTCCAGATAGATAGATTAGATCAGTGGTTCTCAACCTGATGTTTTGGCCTTCAACTCCCAGAAATCCTAACAGCTGGTAAACTGACTGGGATTTCTGAGAGTTGTAGGCCAAAACACCTGGGGACCCACTGGTTGAGAACCACTGATTAGATAGAGATAGGTAGGTAGGTAGGTAGATCAGAAGGACTGGTGGGAGTTGCAGTCCAAAAATAGGTAGAGAAGGAAGAAAGAAAGGGGGGGAAAAGGGGGGGGAGGAAGGGAAGATAAAGAGAAGGAAGGAAGGAGAGAAGGAAGGAAGGAGTACAAAGCAGCGTGAAGGAACAACACCGGCCAACAGTGGAGGGGAAAAAAAGAAAAGGAAGGAAGGAGAGAAAGAAAGAGGGAGGGAAAGCTGGCCACAGCAATGTGTGGCGGGTACAGCTAGTGGTACTAATATTGGAGAGTGGTCCCTGGTGAAAGTGGTCCTTGCTTAAGGGGTCCCTGGTTAAGCGGTCCCTTGTCAAAAAAAGAAAGGTTGGGAACCACTGCCCTAAAGCAAGTCAAGAATCAAAGACCCCAAAACAAATTATTGGTACAAGCTAGACCAGGCACAATGAATCAAAGGCATTGACATATATGTTGGTTTATCGCATTCCTATTGGTCTGTGGGAGGACTTTTGGAGTGACCAACAATGAAGTCAAAAGCAAATTCATCCTTTAGCTAGACACTGAGGTCACACATCACTATGTGGAAAAAGCTTTCAGCCTTGGAGTTCATACAATACCTAAATAGGCCAAACATTAGGAACTCTGGAGCCAAAAGTCCAAAACATCTTGAGAACCAAGGTTTGGGGACCACTGATCTAAAGTGCAGATATATAACCTTTTAAGCCATCAAAGGCACTTTCAACCATTGGAGGAAACACAAAAAAATCTTGGTTTTCCAGTGATTTTCAAACAATTTACTAGAAGAAATACACATTTGTATCTTAGAAGCTGATCCAGAAGACTTGCATGTAAATAGACTTGCATTTCCCTGCACAGGAAGAATACCTTTTCAAATCTCTACCCATCTCAATAGTTACATGGATAGCACATGTGAATGGCAGAAGCTTTAAGATACTAGAAGGAAAAGCTAGTATTTGCTCCCAAGAGTCAAACCCATTTGCATAGTAGCACCAAAACCCAAGTCAGTTTACAAAGCAAATCACCACAATAGACATGAATCCCGTTGCTAGTACATTTGGAATTTCACAGACAAACACTGTAAAAAGAAAATGAAAAAGGCTGCAATGCTGGGAAATACCTCCCTCCTGTGTTCAGAAAGAGCTCCTTACTGAGCTTTATTGGAAGTAAAAAAGATTAAGTCACAACTGAGAAAAACAAATCAAACAAGATGCTACACAACTTGTAATAAATGGCATGTGAAGAAGAGGTATTATAGAAGGGATGGGCTATTCGTTATATTCCAGATATTGTTGTCTCATTACTCCTTATCATCTGCTATGCTTACTAAAAGTGAGGAAACTCATTTCCAACAACATCTGATAGATGAGACGTTGCCAATCCCTGCAGTACAGAAACATAGGAAACTACCTTGTGCCAAGTAAGGCCAGTTTCTTCGTAATGCTTGCACCAGGATAAGCCATTGGATCATGTCTGATTGAAACTCTGGTCAGCCTACAGTATTTATTTATTTACCATACTTTTACCCCATCCTTCTCAGCCCTGAATAGGACTCAGGGCAGCTTTACAAAGGCAACAATTTGATGCCGCATATACACATACATCGATGAATAAACAAAAACATTAAAAACCAATAAATTAAAACACAACATTAAAACAACAATCAAAACTTTATAATCCAGGTCATATTCCAGGGCCAGTCCGAGTCGTTATGTTAATTTATAGTCATTTATTGCACTGCTCCCATTATTGACCAAAAATCTTATCCCAGAGCCATGTTTTTAGTTTTTTCTTGAAGGGCGGGGCCAATCTAATCACACTGGGAAGGCCACCACTGAGAAGGCTCTGTCTCTCGTCCCCACCAGTTGCATTTGCGAGGGGGGTGGGACCGAGAGCAGGACCTCCCCTGACAATCTTAGCCTCTGAGGTGGATCACAGAGGGAGATACACCTCGGCTATGCTATGCTTGATAGAGCTCATGGGAGTTGCAAGCCAACAAAATCTGAAGGGCAACAAGTTGCCCATTCAGGTATAAAATGACTGGCAGTGGCTCTCCAGAGTTCTAAACAAAGTCATTTGTATTCCTAATCCTACCTAAACCTAGGAGTTTTCTTATGCAAATGTGTGCTCCTACTATTAAGCCTAACTCAAATGGCTAACATAAATATCTTAGCTTATTGTGCAAACAAATATACAAGACTTGGCAAACTAGGACCTTCCCCCCCTCCCTCTATATATATACACAGAACACTGGATAAGCGAAAATGTTGGATAATAAGGAGGGATTAAGGAAAAGCCTATTAAATGTCAAATTACTTTATGATTTTACAAATTAAGCACCAAAACATCATGTTTTAAACAAATTGACAGAAAAAGCAGTTCAATACACAGTAACGGTATGTAGTTATTTCTGTAGTTACAAATTAAGCACAAAAACATCACAATGTATTGAAACAGCTGTGCATCCAGGAGGCAGGCAGACTGCGTTGGATAATACAGAATGCTGGATGAATGAAGGTTGGATAAACAAGACTCTACTGTGTGTGTATGTATGTACATTTTAACTCCAACAGATTGAATTTTGCCATTATTTATGTGTAAACTGCTTTGAGTCCCCCCAAGGGTGAGAAAGGTGGTATATAAATACTGTAAATAATAATAATTCTCTTAAAGGAGGAAAGCTGCATATAAATCTGAAACAACATTCACTCTACTATTACTAGTGGGGGTTTTTTTAGGCTGCTTCTGCAATAGTATTACCAACATTTAACCTTGCTAGCTGTAAGCCAGACATTTTAAATGATGTAACCATGTATATATCATGCCTGAATACTTCATGTTCTGAGCTGGAATAAAATATGAGAATAAGTAATGTTCAATGTGCATCACCATGTAAAATCTACCAAAAAAAACCCCCCCAACAAAATAAAATGGAGTGTGGGGATAGGAAGACTACACTGAAGGCTAGCCTTTCATTAAAGCCAGTGTTGTGCATCTGCTATGCATTTTTCATCTCTTTAAATAATGCAGGTTTTCCCCTTCAGGAAATACTTTTCCAAAAACAAATAATGAGAATATTTAATTTAAGGAGGAAAAGATATAAATGAGCATGCTGTATTAGTTCTTTTCTTAGAGGTCAAATTCACAAAAATATTGTATATGATTTATATAAATATTATTTTAAAAAGTGGTGCCAAATTGACCAGAACCTTGCTGTAATCTTGTGACTGTTCTTGAGAAGCAGAGAAATGCATAAATAAATAAAGCTTAATATTTCATTTTAAATGTTTGCATTTGTGAAACATGGTTTGAACCACACAGTGATCCCATCCCAAACATCAACCCATTACATTAAATGTAGCCTTGCCAATGTACTAACTACATTTGTGGAGATTAAAAAATAATAATAAAGGGAAACCCCAAAACAATAACAAAAGCAACTTACTGAGACAGGAGAAGATGGACTACGTGGAGACTAATGTGAGTATAAGGCGAAATAGTTCCCCACTCACTGGATCACCACCGAGAAGTATTGTTTTTACACTTGAATTGATAGAGAAATCTTGATGGAGGACCTGGATGAAAAAAAAACCCCCACAATAATGACTTTAAAAGCATGCAAACATATTGTACAACAACTCCTCCACCTTGCCGATCTTTACAATGTTAATTCCTATGGAACTCGGGCTTCGCTTATTTTGTTTTTTTATCTGAAGTATTCCTATATGGCCTTCCAATCCACAAGGGATACTGATAAACAAATGAAAATCACATAAAACAGTACAAAGGACATTTCCTAGTGGGCACCCAGATGTCTGATGTTTTACCATCCTTGTGAGAGGCTTCTCTCATGTCCCTGCATGGGGAGCTGGAGCTGACAGAGGGAGCTCATCTGTGCTCTCTCCGGATTTGAACCTCCGACCTGTCAGTCTTCAGTCCTGCCAACACAAGGGTTTAACCTATTGCGCCACTGGGGGCTCCTACCTCTGAGGGTGCCTGCCATAGATGTGGGCAAAATGTCAGAAGAGAATGCTTCTGGAACATGGCAGACATCCAGGAAAACTCACAGCAACCTAGTTTGTTTCTGTTTAGTCAATTGTGTCCATATAAGTTTAGGCACATTTGTTTTGCTTCTGCTTAGTGTTTTGTGTGTTTCTTGGAGACAGACATATGTGGAAGCATTGCTGCTCTTAAATGAGATTTCTTGCTATAAGAATTTTTCATAATCTCCTGAATATCTAAACTATGTGATCGCATGATGGACAGAAATGTTGAGAAACCGACAGTACTGCCTATCATGACATCCCGTCACAGTGGATGCTGGAAGATATGAAGAAATCAAAAGCATGCAAACAGAAAAGTTAAATAGCAATTTACAAGCCGTAAAAAATGCCAGTAGCACCACACACCTTTGAAATGCTGTGAAATCCTTTAATGCGAAAATAAAATATAGACCTAAGGTGACCCAAATGGTATTCCTATTGCCCCATTAATCATATTTAATGCCAAAGTCCAATAATGTTATCTTTGGTTCCAGCTTCTGCAGCCCATAATTTAACACGAGTGGCTCTTTTCACAGAGCGAATCAGGTACTAGTCCGGTCTCTTCCAACCTCTTTTGTGCTCCTAAATTAGAAAACCCCAAATGCCATTTCCTTCAGATATGAAATACAGTCAAGGTCATTGTAAAAGAATAGAGTAATTAACTTTCCAAGCAACTACCTGCAGAAAAATAGAACAGTTGGCCGAGTGGGTAAGAGAACCCAAAACTGTCCCTTAGAAAGACAGCCCCAAAATGATAAAAGATAAAGAAGGAAAAATCATGCCCCCACCCCAAGTATTTTATTTTATTTGATAGATCTAGCAAGTTCCTCTTCATAGTACAAAATTGTGTAAACATGTTTTTTTCATTTCAGTGACTTGATTTGGAGGGGGAGGAGGTGTGCTATTTAAATTTGTTTGTGTTGTCCCTGCATATTTGGAGTTTGAATAGTGGCAGTTAAATCTGGGGGTATATCTCTTTGGGAGTGTAAAAGGACCCAACATTTCTCTGAATCCTCTGTAAATTACACCCAGCTAGCATCATGTGCACTAACACTGATTTTAAGTAGAAGAAATGTGGTATAGTAGTTTGAGCATTGGAGGACAACTTGGGAGACTAGGGTTCAATTCCCCACTTGACTATGAAAACCCACAGGGTGATCTTGGCAAGACACACTCTCAGCCCCAGAAAACTCTGTAATAGGCTTGCCTTAAAGTAAAGGTAAAGGATTCCTCTTGACATTAAGTCTAGTCGTGTCCGACTCTGGGGGGTGGTGCTCATCTCCATTTCTAAGCCGAAGAGCTGGTGTTGTCCATAAACACCTCCTAGATCATGTGGCCAGCATTACTGCATGGAGCACTGTTATGTTCCCGCAGAAGCAGTACCTAAAGGTCTACTCACATTTGCGTGCTTTCCAACTGCTAGGTTGGCAAGAGCTTGGCTAACAGCAGGAGCTCTCCCCACTCCCTGGATTCGAACCGCTGATGCTTTGGTCAGCAAGTTCAGCAGCTCAGCAGATTAATCTGCTGCACCACCAGGGAGGCCTTAAGCTCACCATAAATCAGAAACAATGTGGAGGCACAAAGCAACAAATTTCTGTAAGGGAAGTGGCAAAACGGCTCATTTATCCCTTCTTAGCAATATATAAGGGGCCGCGATGGCGCAGCAGGTTAAACCACTAGGCTACAGAACTTGCTGATAGTGAGGTCAGTGGTTTGAATTCACAGACAGGGTAAGCTCCCATTATTAGCCGCAGCTTCTGCCACCCTAGACGTTTGAAAACATGCAAATGTGAGTAGATCAATAGGTACCAATTTGACAGGAAGGTAACAGCATTCCATGCAGTCATTCTGGTCACATGACCTAGGAGGTATCTACCGACTTGACTAGACTTAATGTCAAGGAGAAACCTTTACCTTTACCTAGCAATATATAGCCATAGTTCTTTCTACTTGCTTCGTAGTGTAGTAGGAAGACACATATTAGATATAATATATCAATGACAGTTGCCTTTACAAGAAGAACAAGAACCAATTGATGGATAAATGGTGATAACTATTGCCATCTATATGTTCTTAGCTTATTATACACTCCAATAGTATAGTAAAAGACCACTGTCTGAAAACCTGGAGAACTGCTCCCAGTTAATGTAGCAAGTATGAAGTTAGATGAACCAGCATTTGGGGGAAAATTGTACTACAGTTCCCAGAATTTCACTGGCCATGCTGGCTGAAAGATTCTGAATGCTATAATTCAAAACAGAACCTTTCTAAGCTTAATCAGCTCCCACAAACAATTAACCAGTGCAATAATAATAATAATAATAATAATAATAATAATAATACTTTATTTGTACCCCGCTACCATCTCCCCAAGGGACTCGATGCGACTTACATGAGGCCGAGCCCAAATACAACAATACAAGCAATAAAACAACAATACAAGCAATTAAAAAAAGCATAGATAATAAAATATACAACATTATCAATAAAACAACACACAGTTAAAAACAGTGGGAAGGCCAAATGTAAGGTTAAAATTGGAAGTAATGCTGGGACATGGACAAATAGGTGATAATGGTGTTTGTGTAAGGGCATATGAGCAGACCTAAAGAAATGTAAAGTGCTTTGCAGGACAAAGTGCTATGGGGTCATTATTCCGGGAAGGCACACTGGAACAGCCACGTCTTCAAGCTCCTCCTGAAGACTGCCAGAGTTGGGGCCTGTCTGATGTCTTTAGGGAGTGAGTTCCAGAGTCAAGGGGCCACCACCGAAAAGGCCCTCTCTCTCGTCCCCACCAATCGCGCCTGCGATGCTGGTGGGATCGAGAGCAGGGCCTCTCCGGATGATCAAAGGGATCATGTGGGTTCATATATGGAGATGAGGTCACGCAGGTAGGCGGGTCCCAAACCGTTCAGGGCTTTGTAGGTAAGAACCTGCACCTTGAATTGGGTCCGGTAAATGAATGGCAGCCAGTGGAGCAATAGTCTCCTTCAAGCATTGGCACTCGTGATGGGAAGCAGTCCTTTGTTGATGTTATCACCAAAAATCCTACACCAGGGGCCCCAAATGTGGCCCTTGCCCTAAAGAATTTGTAGTAATGCATGGTGGGAGAATTTATCTCTCTTCTTTATTCTTTGCTATTTTCCAAAAAAGAGAAATTAAGGGTTTTGAAACCTATTTATTAGCCTTTTATCTGCTTTTCTTAAATAAGATCTTCAAGGCTAATTGTGGATGGGTTTATTAGAAGAGTAATATGAAAGCAAGTATAAGGTAAACTCAATTAAAAATAAGCATAAAACCCAGACAGTTCAGTGCCTTGGGTTGATTCTGTTTCGAAAATGAGCATGCTAACACAGAGCTTTCCCTTAGCAAAAAATAAAAATAAACGAAGAAGGATGAGGAGGACAAGCCCTTTTCCTCTTGGATTCATTTTTCAATGATTGTAATTTCTGTTTCAGGTTAACAATTCCAGTTCCCATTTTCCCCTCGCGGGACTCCACAGCACTCATGAACTGATTAAAACTCACCTGATTTCTCAAATAATACCTCTACTAAGCTCCTTCATTCCCAGCAGTCTGGCCACAGAACTATTATCAACTGTTATCTGGGAATTGGTTCATGAATGTCATTCTTGTTCCTTTCCCTATCTTTCTCCTAATACACAGGAGCTTTCTTTCTTTTCTAATAAGAATAGAGGAGGGAGCTTTGTCCTACCTTTTATTGTTCAGCTAAGCCGCCATCTACTTAGTGCAAATGCCTAGCAAAACATGCAATCCTGAAATACAACTAAAGCTTAGTGGGTGAATTCTTAACATAATAAAAGTGTGAGTAGCAGAAAAGAAAAGGCAGCTCCAGGGCAGGCTTCTATGATACGGACAATAGGGCATAGGCCTCTGGACCAAATGGATTGTAACACATAATATATGTACCACTGCTGAGGAATTCAGCCAACCCAGTAATTCGGGTGCTATAGATTTTGAAAAGAGACTATTCTCATATGAATTTTTAAAATCATAACTCCCAGAATTCCCAACTGTTAGAATTAGCAACCTTTGCATGCCTAGACTTAGTAACTGTGTATTTCCTGATGTATCTGTTTATTTATTTGCCACATTTATATACCGCCTTTCTCAGCCTGGAGGCGACTCAGAGCGGTTCACAATCGGCAACAATTCGATGCCTCCACAACTATAAAATACAAATTAAAAACAGATTATAAATACAATTAAAACATTTAACATATAATATAAAACCAAACAAAGCCATAAAAACATAATCATCAGAGTCTCCTTACTAAAATCGTTATCCAAGTGCATCGTCAAATCGTTCCGTAATTTCATCTTTATCTAATTATGTTGCATTTGTTTACTTTTCCACACACATATATATCCTGAATTACTCTAACCTTTAGTCATTTTGTTAGTCTCGTCTCTCCTCCATTAAATCATGTGTTTGATTATGGAGAAGTAAACTATAAGTAAACTATAAGTACTTTTATAACTTTTACAAAGACTGCTAAGCTAATGGGCCTC